CCTTCTTTGTGATCATGATACAAACGCACTGCATCAACATCATATAGGCCAAAATGATAATTGGAAACGAATTCACTTCCTGTCGCAACTTAATTTCCTTTACCATTACGCCTAAAACCATACAATTAAAATTAAAATGTTGAACATAAACTTTACTTACTTACGGTTTTTTTGATATTCTGCAAGCCAGCAATGAATTCACTGCAGCACATCATGCCAAACAAGGTAAACATAATCCCAAATTTGAATGGCGTAGCTCTATGTAATAAAACTATTTCAGGAATAACAATTATGGACGCGTCTATCATTGTGGCAAGCACTAATGTTATTCGTATTCAATTGATAACGCAATAATTACATAATATTTAGTGAAAAAACCGCCCATCATGTTTAGGGCGAATATTTTTAGTTAGATTTGATTTCGCGCGATCGTGAAAAGTGTCAACTGTCACATGACTTATGGGACGCGCTAAGTTTGTTTTAAGCGTCCGATCCGCGTACGACATAGTGGTTAATGCAATAAAAAGAGATAGAACATGTTTCATCTTGGTTAGAAAGTAATGGAGAGATGTACAAATTTCTTTGATATGTTTTTTAAAAACCGAGGTACGTTTGTTAAGGATGGCTGTATCTAGGTATTTATATATCTATGCTTACAAATTTGTAACATTGCTGTTTCTATTCTGAGAAGGCCGTATTCTGTGGTACACATTAAAATAAAAGCAAAAGTCGATCACTTGATTTGTTTGATCTGACAGTAGTTTGACAAATATCAATATCAATCAATTAATCAAATATCACGTTTAGATGGATGTCAGTTGCGGTTGCTAGGCAAAATTTCCAGTCTGGTAAAAATTTTCAGTCTGGTAAAATACGATTTACCAGACTCAAATCAGTCTGGGAAAGCGGCGATTACTAGATAGTATGAAATAATAGTTATTTACGTTATAAGTCCGGTAGGTTACTTGTAACAGTACGAGTTAGACATTATGGACGAGGCGACGTCAGGAGCCGAGTCAAGAATGTCTTAAACGAGTACTGTTACAAGTACTACCGGACGTATATCGTAACGTATTTTATTTCATACTGTAAGTCTGTTTTGTATCATTATTTCATTTCAAAGATTACAAAATTTCATCATATTGTAAAAATCGCATTACCTTGTTTCTGTGGCAACGGCCGTTGCTATAGTTTGTAGTTTGTTGACAATTGAATTTTTTTCACTGAAAAATTGACGTTATAAACGTTGAGGAATGTTCCACTGTTCCCGATACAATCCTGTCGATATCTCATGAAGCAACCGAAAAGTTGGTTCCTAAGAAGTCGGCCGCAAGGGATGAAAAAGAGTACTAAGTGTTTTGCCAATTGAGGAACGAACATGGGGCGAAACAAGTAGAGGAAAAAGTCATGTTGGCATACTTTTTGGACGCAGTAAGTTTTTGAATTGAGATTTTTTTGCCTGGGTTTCGGTGTTAAAAGCGTCATGGAGCATGGAAAAGCTCATCGACGGCAGAAAAATACATCGAAGGCTCGGTAGAAGGAAAAGTTAAGATTGCCCGTATGATACAACTGATACAAGGCGGCGAAAATTTCATTGAAGTTCTACAGCAGAAGGAATCAAACATTACTAACTCGACATACAGTAATAACCCAGGCGTAGTGTTGAGGGCAATACAAATTGTTTCATTACAATCAATGTTAATGTTTGAAATAAAGAATTACAGCCAAATTTATGTTGGGGTTTTTAATTAATTGTGTGAAGATGTCAAATTTGATGTATACAAATAACAGTCCGGTAAGTGTTGCTTAGAGACACTTACCGGCTCTGATGCTGTAATAACTCACCTACCGGACTCAAAATGATAGTGTAATCGAACATCTACCGGACAGTATGAAATAAACGTAATTTTACAGTAAAATTACCAGTAATTTACGTTTTTTACGTAATTTACAAATATTTTTGTAAAATTGCCTGTCATTTATGTTTTTTATGTTTGTTTTAATATTCCATAAACCTTTTTGCATTTTGTGAGTGTTTGAAAACAAAAACACTTGCTAAATTATATAGTTTGGTGTATTAAATAAAATACCCAAGCAGTAGGTATTTCGCCAACACGCGTCGTTTGGAGGAAGAAGTTCCAGATCGCGAATTAGATGCTGCATCATCCTCATTAAACCAAACTAGATTCAACGGTGAATCGTTTACGTTGGTAGTACCGTTGATGGTCTGCGGTAGTACCGATCAAAATGTATCAAATAGGTATTACATTTATGTAACTTACAAAAATTACGGTTTTTTAAATAAAAAACGTAAGTTACGTAAATTTCATAAAAGACATAAATTACTAAAAACCGACCGACTATTTATGTTAGCGGCACTAATAATACACTTTATTTTTACTGGCAATTTTCTTTGTTGTAATTCCACGCGACAAAATGAGTCAACTACTCCGTTTCCCCTGCTCTATTACGCCGCACACGTATACTGGAAAGTTTCCTAAAGGATCTGATTGCTAACACTCACTTTCGATGAACTGGCATTTAGTAACAAATTTGCAAATTCGAAACTTATACGCCCTCCCAAACCAAATAATGAACGAAACAACCTGCCCGCTTTTCTAACCAATTCGTAAAATGACTTCTATGCAACATACTTTTTTTTACAACTTGGACCACAAACGCGAATTCTTCACAACTTTCTAACTTAACCACTGGGTCGCTATGAATTTATTTAGACCGTCTTCTGACCAATTCGACTAACAAAATGCGAATTAACCAATCTCTTTTGGGCCGTACTGTTTACCAGCTTACGGCTAACCTTCCAATACCATAACTTTTAGCTCGACTGCTAAAACGCGAATCCCTTACTTGTGCAAAATAATCCCCTCTCTGAATAGTCAGTAACGCCCACTCCATGGACGCGGTATTTTATTAATTTTCATTGATTCAACCCGCTACCAGGACTGTATCTGACTTTCGCATTTTGCTTGTTTTTTTTTATTAAGCTTTATTTAATTTGATGAGTTGCAGAAGTAACAGAACACGACTAATCTCCAGCGTGTAATTCCAAACCATAGCCAGACAATGAGGCTACAAATACGATTTAGAACAATTATCCCATTGATAAACATGGTAAGATGACGAAAGCTCACGATTGTAATAATCGACAAACTAAAAACTGGAACTTATCATGCGTTTGTTTGGGGGAATACTTTTAAAACCTTAACTCCCTTACAACTTAGAAATTTTACTTCCGCGTAATTCGACGGTAAAAACACGCAAAAAATTTAACTCAAATAAATGCTCTCGTTGCATAATGATCCGTATATTGTGTTTTATCTAGTTCCTTACAACTTCCTATTTTTGTCACTTCTTGTCTTGTCTTGCAAATTTTTTGCAGATCTTGCAATGTGTGACTGTTTCGTATAGGAGTTTACTCAATGTAGACTATTAATTCGGTGAACTATTTTTACCACCCGCACGTCAGTAAGGGATGTATTGTATTGGGGTAAAAACATGACACCCTCCTTTTTTTAACACAAATACACGTTTTGAAGCGTCAGAAATCCGAATCAAACAAAATCTCGATGATGTCCGTCTGTCGGTCCGTCTGTAGTCTCATTTCCGGCTAAACGGCTGAATCGATTGGAACCAAATTTGGTACACATACGTGGTGTGAATATAGGATGATGTGCTCACGAGGCAGACGAATTTCGGTCTCGGTTGCGCGCAGTGACGTCACCAGAGAGTTTTCCCATGTTTGTCGTATAACGTTTATAGCGTTGATCTTTCATCCGATTGTTTCAACAAAACTATTAATATCCAAACGGACCTTGATTGTAATGAATCCACTTGTGATTGTGAAGGGCCAGAGTGCCATAATTCTGAATTTTCCTCTTCCACGACCACCTTTTAAATATATTACAAAAAAGAGAACAAAAGACGATGCTATTTCTAATGAAAGACTTAAATTTATAGCAGGATATGTAGCGTACAGATTTAAGGATAAGTACTTAACTTTAAATTTGGGAACAAAAACCAAGTTTTATACAAGAAATTGATCTCCAGATTGGATTGAATTTTTGTCAAAAGAAGATCTTTTCCACCCCTGCACATTTAAATATACACTGAAACATATTGAAACATACTCCACAGTCCCTGAACTGAACTGAAACAAATATTTTCAAGATCGCTCGTCAAGACCTTGAAAGAAGTGCGAGTAATGCAAGAAACTTCTTGTCTTGTAGTGAGTTTCTTGTCTTATCGTACAACGCCATGCAAGAACAAAAATCACTTCTTGTCTTGCGCAAAGACACAAAGCAAGGATTGTTGATAATTATCTTAATATGCATTCATGTCATTACCCTTAATTTTGCTATACAGTGTACTATTAATTTGTTGGCTACCGGTCATTTCTTTTTTTCGCAGCTTATTTTTACACGGTGAACTACCTTTTTCAAAACTTGTTTTTACAATGTAATTTATTTCAATTTTTGTAATATTGTATGGAGTGTCGTGTTTGTAGAGCAGTATCATCTGAAATCCCAGCCACTTAAAGATAGACCTCGAGATAGACACGAAAAATTAAAACAACAACATTATTGAATAGAGAATGAAGAGACCTTTCAAACGGTATATAACACGGCGGTACTTCCCATTGGGCTTTGTAACTGTCTCTCGATGGAGGTTGAACGTATAGGATCACGTTTTCACGTTGAAGAATGTCAATTTATAATTTAAATCTGAGGTGTTTCGGGATTTTCTGTAAATATGTACAGTAACCGAAATAATGAATTTATACCATTTAATGAAAAATACGGTAAAGGTAGGAAACGGAAAATTGACATTGATCTGCTAGGATTGAGAAAAAAAGCATGGGTATAAGATGGCAATCACTCACATTTGCGCGCTTTAATATTCAACTCATCCATTCCCTTTCCCACAACATAATGTTCCACCGGTTCATAACATCATCTCAGCTATAAAATAAATTGGCTTACCTATATACGCTCGAACATCGTAACTCGTACCAATAGGGGCTCCACTATATTCTTTTGCAGGTACTAACTGTACACTTGGGGGCGCTAAAGGCGTAATTTCCATACTAAACGGGTAAGCATTGGGACCCAGTCTTTTTAGAAGCGCTTCCTGAAAGAAAATAATAAGGCGTATTAGATGTGTGGCTTCTTTCCTGCTTGCTTTATTAAAACAAATTGAGGAAAAATGTAATACGTTCCATGTTTACGCATAAGATTTAGACATGACGTTAAAAATTCTTATATTTTGTTCGGAATATTTGCGCCCATAAAGAATTTATTCCTCAGTAAGTAATTAAATTACAAATCTGTTGGAGGGAAAAATTTTCACTTGTTATTAAGGTAGAATATTGGAATATAGGAATATGGTGTAACACATATACGTTTTAAGGTAGGTGGTTTGAAATTAACATTACAGCCGTGGTAGGTAAAGCTTTGAGAGATTGTATATGACAAAATAAACATTTGAAGAAATCGAATTCTGAGAAACGCGTCTTGTTACAAGTATCTATCACTGAATTCATCATTTCACTCATCGCCTGCCTCCTTTTATGTTGAGTTAGCAATTTAAAGATAACTCCTTTTTGTGAATTTTAAATTTATTCGAGATATAGTTCTTGCGACTTCTGGCACCCCTACGTGTAAATGTACATGATTTCGAATACAAGCGTCTATACGTGAACTGTTTAACTAAAAAATATTTGGTCAATTTTAAAAAAGAGCGTTTTAGATCTTAGTTTTAGAAATATTCTACATACACGCCACGGAGAGTATTGTAACAGTTTATTTTCTTAATTACAAGCATTCACGGTATATTTCGTTGAATGATCTTCGTTCTTATTGGGAAGCAGTTTAACACATATCTCCCTCTATTATTGGAAATTGAACCACTCAATTTTAGCGCGCATTTTGCCGACACCGTGCTCTTCGTTTGCCGACCTTCGTCTTCCTCTGTCTATTGTCAGTAGAAACAAAGTGCACTTCATTTTAATTAAACAGCTAAAGCGTTAGTTTAGAACGCATGGAATTTAAATTGCCATCATCAATATTATAGTAATTTCGGGCGATTGGATTCATTAGTGTTAGGGATTCCGGAAATATATTTAGTGAACGGATTCACCTATAACTCTTATGTGAGGAGGATATAATGGCGTTTTTTTTTCTTCTTCTTTGTAAGTATGTCATTTGCATTTAATGCCCTTGCTTGTATCTGGCTTGAGGTTTCGGCTCACATTTCTTGTATTGCAATTTCCATCGATGATTGTTGCTTAATCTATAATTCGCCCTCCTATTTAAGAGGCATGTACATTTTAGTTTATCAAGAAAGAGGGGTTACCTTTGATTTCTGTTAGGGTTTTAATTTATGGTATCAGTTTAAGGACCAGTTCCAGTTTCAGTGTTAGTCCTATTTTAAGTTTCGGAGGCGTTTTACCTGCATTTCTGTCGACGTACGAGTTTGAAGTTGATAACCTTGGACTAGCCTAAACATTTGTTTGCGACTGCCGACGCCTTTGACACAATATCTTCCATCTGCTGATAACGAGCGGCCCTTTGCTAGAAATGGCTCACTGGATCATGAGCGAGATGTGATAGACATCTTTCGTAACTTTTAGCGTATTAGTATTAACTATTTTTTCCTCTTCTGGGCTATATGCTATCAGTCACATTCAATTAATTTGTTAACTTCTGAACCTAATTAGTATCTTTGAGATGTTAGTTAAGTTATGATCGAGTTAGACACGCGAATGTTATTGCAGACCGCCGTTTCCTGTGATAGAACCTTATTACAAGTAAAGCGAGGCCCTTCATGGGCCCTTGAGGCATTCTTCAAATAATTATATACTAAACTCTGCGTCTTGGAAGGTTTTCTTTTGTTTGCAGGTTGTGGAATCCGAGATCTGAGCTTACTTCTTGGTGTCACCGTTTAATTTTAATTTTATGTGAGCGTTGATTTTTTATGTTGGACTTGTACCTGGCCCGGAATATCAATTTATTTGTGGAAAGTTGCAGAAAGATCCAGTAATCAATTTAATCGATCCTTCTTGATTGGAGTTTTGTTAAACTGGGAGATTTCAATTGGAAAGTCAAGTTACCTACCAAGATTTGTGTGTGACATAACATATTTTCCAATATTTGTGTGCTATTCCATTGCGGATTTTATTTTTGATTTGACACTGGGTGTGAATAAACCAGTATTTTTTTGGTACCGGAATTGATTTGCACTATTATTACTTACCCCAGGGAGAGTTACGTTAGAAATTGAGTGGCGCTCAACCATTGATAAGTGTAACAAAGTTACGAAGATCATTATTACTCACAAGGAACTACCGCTGTGGAAGATTCTCAAGCTTTTATTTTGTGTTTAACCCTGTAGTCCAGGCTATGCAATATTTTTTGACAAAAAAATTAGTTATCGGTTCGAACCCGGTTTTTCATGCAGGTGAAATGATTAGAAATTGGGGAAAAATAATTAAAACAGCTGAATTTCCCGGGAGTGGTGGAAACTGGTGTTTTGCAAATTATAGCAAAACTATTAAATTTAAACGAAAATCCTGACGAAAATGTTCAACGCAAAAGTTATAGAGAATAAAAAAATGAACAACTTTTGTATCTGCACTATTTTCAGATAACCTCCCATTTTCCTGGAAAAACCGAAAAAACTGTTTTTTTTTCGTTTTTTTATTCTTATTTTTGCAAAAAAAACATGAAAAAGTCGTAGGGGTTTGAAATTTGGAAGAAACATAGCTTGTTCATAATTTTTTTGGACCCGTAAAGTTGAACCGTTTCCGAGATCTCACGATTTCTGAAAAAACTACCTCTTTTTCAAAGGGATGAAAAATCTATTTTTATTCATGGTACACAGTTGCTCCAGGTAGCAAAAGTAATGTTACTACAAGCTTATGGAACAGTCAGCTGGAGCTGTAATAAAAAATCGGTTGCCTTCTGTCAAAGATTTCTTTGGCATGTAGCTTTGTCTGAAGCTTTAAAAAACGCGTGTAATTTAGGGTATGCTGCCAAATCTGTTTTGTTTCTTAATTGCAGCACTGTTTGAGGTTTTGAACGAATGCACCAAAGGAAAGGATATAGAACATTTATATACCTTTGACACTTTCTTCATATATTCGATGCATTGAAGACTTTGTTCGTACGATGCTTCCTATTCATCTACGAAAACAACTTTTCACATTATTTATAATAGGTTTTACTGGATTTGGATTTTGCATCTATCCACTTTTCTTCTGCTTCTGCAACAAGCCATTGAATGAACGGTGTATTATCTTTTTCAACCGAAGTCATTTTATTTACAAAAATGGTGATTTTTATAAGCATAATTCACATTTCCATGGAAATCATGGAATTACGAATAAACAGTCCACTTATGGCGTTTGCACAGACAAATTAAGCTTAGCTTAAGAGTAGCTTAAAATCTATGGCAACCATAGTCTCAATAGTCGTTGCCATGGATTTTAAGCTACGCTTAAACTAAGCTTAAATTGTCGGTGCAAACGGCCAATAATTAGACATCAATTCGAGTATATCGTCAATATGATTTTATTTATACACATGCACAAATCTTGTGTAGATAAAGCGCATTTAAAAAAAAAAGTAGCACAGTAGCATGCTATATTCGATCTTTTCTTTGTTGTTAGATGATTAATGGGGAGACTTTCCTCCGACATAGTGTTTTCGAGATATTCGCTCGTAAAGTTTTGACATCACCATCATCCGACAATCTGTTCTTGAGATATAAGGAATTATTTTATCCGATCGTGATAAGGAGTCGAGGAGGAGACTATGGTTGGTAGAAATTAAATCCTTTTGCTGAGACCTTTCTTTAGAGTACCATTAAGATAAAATCAGTCAACCCTTTTTTGATAAGAAGTCAGAAAGTAGGGCGGTAGTTGGTAGAAAACAGAAATAGTCGCGCAGGAAAGTTTGTACAAACCAATTCATTTCGGAGAGACCTTTCACTAGAATACCATGAAGGGTAGAACGTGTGTTCACCCCTCCCCCCTCCCTATTTTCAATACTGTTAGGTACTTGTACGGTATGCGTATACAAATTCTGAAACCAGTTGGTTGTCGCATGTAAAAGTTATGAACGTTTTACATTCAAAAACTGCGTCTCAGGAAATAATTCATGGAGAGGCCCAGCGAAATTTAATGGCCGTCTGACACACCTTTAAGGTATACGCCACATATTGCAAAACATTTCAGGACTCTAGGACCATTCAAGTAGTTCAAATCCGCAGAAGTGGGACCGGACGGACGGAGAGACGGACGGACAATAGCACATTTTTTTATTCTTAAACAATACGCTAAAAATACTATAAGAAACACGTAAAAGGTTCGGTTTGCTAAGGGTTTTTGTTAATTGCTGCAGATAGGAGGTTATCTAAGATATAAAATAAGCCTACCAGAGGAACTGCACAAACGCATATAGGCTGATAAGATCTAGCGCTCTAAGATTCAATAATCGTGCCTTCGTGCTTGAAAATATAAGCAGAATTTTGCACAAAATACCAGTTTAAAGTAGGTACATATTTGAAGGGTTGTTGCACTTAATTTTCTCGACAGGTATAGAAAATACTTAAATAATAGATATAATTAGAAAACTATGTAAGTAAATACAGAAATAGTAATGAAGGTAACATAGGTGTATTGTTAATTAGGTTGGGATTCCCTGCTTTGTTGGTAGTTATTATCTATTGAATAGACAGTAATTGGAATTTAATTGAATTCCCACATAGGTAACAGTCTTCGATTTGAATTATTCTTAATGAGTTATGAAACACTTTAATTTTTTTGTAATGGGAACCATATAGTCGTCCAAAACTGCAATGGATTTTTTTCAGCGATTATACAGGATCTCAATTATAATTTAGATACTAAATTAGGTACTAATCAAACAATTTGTCGCAACTCAATGAACAACATTCATTTACGCTGGATTGTTAATTAGACTACAATATTTCTTAATGCAGAACAATCGAAATCAAAAGAAATATAAAAAGATCATTTTTGCGAGATATCCAGTGGGTCACACATTTTTCTAAAGAATGCAAAAAATAATTAAATGGAGCTTGTATAACATGGCAATCTTTTTCCTGCTCATCCATCTCCACTACCTAATTATTGACATTATTTTAGGCCTCATTTAAAAAGCGCTATTATAGGCCGTGACCGAAATTAATTAGCTACCTACTTTTTTCTCGTCTCTAAATATTACTGCAATTGCAAATTTCTGTGCAGAGTATCGGCAAACGCTAGCCCACTTTTCCCATTACATCTTAAACACTTTTCATGTTTAGAAGATGATCACTCTATACAAAAGTAGAAACAAGGTGCTATAAAATGAAACTGATTTTGTGATGAGCGTACTAAAGAACGGCCATTTTTTGTTTTCTCACAAAAAATACCCACTTCCTACAACTCAGAAACAATGTACAAATATGTCGTAGTCAGCAAATGAAAGATACGCCAGGAACACGGCTTTTTCGTCCACAGGTGATTGAAAACGTTCAATTAGAAAAAAATTGATCGCCTGCAAAAATGCAAGTACAACGGACTTAACAGTTTGAGTGCGAATTGTAATCAAAAAGTATTTGTAAGTTGACAACTTAATTTCTTATTGACCGCATAGAGCGGGTGAAAATGTCTAAATCCGTCAACTTCAAGTTAACAAAAAATCGGTCGCCTTCAAAGTATTTTCCGAAGTGAATAGCTAATTCCCTAACTTTCTTGAATAGTTTCCATGGAACTTAATCACAAACTTTTAAAGTGGAAGTGGTAAATTAAATTTCGAGTTTCGTAACCTTATTTCAATGATCAACTGGCAAGAATACGCTAAACGTGCACAGTGCGCTAAAATAAAACCGTTACAAATTGAAATAAACCCCTTTAATGTAAAGATTAGAACTTTAAATCAGCTTTATAATTAGTTTTTGCGTAGCTCCCCGTTAGTATTCTTTGTGCATCTGATTTTGCTGGCATTTTCTTATTGCTAATTAGATAGCGTGTTCATCTCTCTAAGTTTTAAATTCGGTTTTAATTTAGTTAATAAACCTGATACAATACAATAGTTATGTTTCTCATTAAATGTTACTTTAAGAGGAATTCTATTTGCTATCTACTTCAATTGTTAGATAATATAATACATATTCGAGGTGGGAGTAACTTATCATTGTTAAGCCACGTAATTGCTAATCTGAATGTAGTTTGTAGGTAATATCTACTGTAATCTTGCCATTAATACTCCAGAACCGTTGTATTTTTGGTAGGAAGGATGTCGAGTAGTTCTGATTACATCAGTTGTGCTTGTGTATAGTTCTTGTGGAATACTCTAAATCCAAATTTAACGGAGCCAACAAAATTTCTTGGCACATTTTATTAAAAAATTAAATTACTTTTCAGTTTTTCACCTGATCACATGGAATTTCCAACAAATTTATATTTATATTTACGTTTTTTGTCCGAGGTTTGAGACCAATCAGTGGTTCAAAATGAACGTATTTAGGCACACTTTTCAATTTCAAAATGGTTCCTAATGATGTAGTACCATGTTTTCAATTTCTCTGCCATGACAAGACATTAAAAACTATTTAATTTGCGTTGCTGGAATGATAATATTTCCAACAAACTGTCCTTTGATTGTAGAGTTACTTGCTGTCATAATTTCAAATTAACATTCTATAACAGATAATGACTCTTGAAGATTTTCTAACCCAAGAGGTTAGTGTAACACTTGTTAGAGTGCTCTGTTCAACAATCTTAGGATCAGGATGAAATTGACGAGCATCAAATTAAGGGCCTTGCACATATGAGAAGTTGCGCCACAATAAAAAAATCCATTCTTTTTCGGGACACTTTAACGACGATATAGCAGAAAACATGTTCTTACCATCAGGGTTCTTGTCGAGCGTCTTCTTAGGACAATTTGACTTGATTATGTCCCAATTTATGACACTTCACAGTTTCCCTGAAGTCACGAGACCTTGGTTTCGCAACAAAAGCAGCTGCGTTGTATTAGTCAAACTAAACGATTTAGAGGATAATGAACGATTTGATTAAATCAACTGACCTGTGTATGACCTTTTTCCCCCATTAGCCCTAAAATGAATAGTTTTTTTGCATCTACTGTGCATTAGTGCTTTACCTATGGTGTATTTATGCTACCGATGTGTGCTTGTTTGGTTTTTTGGACTTTATTTTTAAGTGAGCGGGGTTTCAGTCAAGGTTGCTTTATCAACCCAACCCACTATACATTTCCTTAGCCCTCACTTGGTTTTTCGAAATGTTTCTAAAACCAAAAATGCACAAACCGTGAGCACCTTCATCTAATACAAAATTTGCAACTCAAATAGATTTAGAAGTAACTACACATCCTTTCCCACTTGTAAATTGTGGAATACTTCGAAGTCTCCTACATCAAGTAAATGTAATACATTGTTAATTAACCCGATCTCCCCCTATCCAGAATATATCTAGGGCCCTAGATGCGGTAGTTCTTACACTAAAGTTCTATTTGGAGGCGAATGTCGCTAAGTAATTTTAATTTATTATTAATTTATTAACTTCTGTATTTAAATCTACACGGACGAAACACTTCGTTACATTAAAAAGATTCGCATACCAAAAGTTTGAAATCGCTAATCGATCTAAATCATTAAACATCAAATGGAATTAACAAATTAAATGAATATAAAATTTGAAGTAAAACAAGGAAATACTTTCAGAACCGCCTTTACACGCAGTTAGACGCAACACAATTTACAATCAACAAATGCAACAATTGCAATTACAACTAAGTACATTACCTTTTGTTACAGCACAAAATACTTATATGAAACTTGAATTTTAAGATTAACGCAAACAACCAGTGTACTCTCTGAAGCGAAAATCAATAGAGACGCTACGCTTATAATAAACATACAAAGTGCAACATTAGTAAATCTAATTCAAGACATCTGATATACAGACGATCATTGTTTTAAAAGTTGCTGATATCAAAATTATTACATTTTTGCAAAGTAACTACATTTTGTTTCGAGGTTAACGTCTTTTCAGACTGCAAAACGGTATCTCTATATACGCCAACGGTACTGAATTTTGAAGTTGAACGTCTTAATATTTC